AGACAGTATGAAAATGTTCCGCGTTTTTTATTTTTTGACATTGAAAAAAATTTTTTTTCTCTCTACTGTCTCCACCCATCACTAAATCTAGAGTTGTCATTGAAAGGTGATCCTGGGTCCTACGTTTTGTATCCGATCTTTTCTCCTTTTTATTCTTTTTTTTTTAAGAGAGATTTTTGCTATAGGGTGCATGTTCTCTCCAGAGAGAGAGACAGAGAGACCGGACAGCGAGAACTCGCTCCCTTGGGGAGAGGGGTGGCCACGCTGCAGTCCTTCTTTCTCCTCTCTGGATTTTGGGCACACACGCACATGTGCCAAGTGTGAGTTTAAGCCGCTAGCTAGGTCCAGGACTCGAACCACCGTTGACAGCGTGGGAGTCAAGCAGATGTGTCTGCTAGTCCCTCTTTCTTTCTTTTTTTTTTTTTGTTTTGTTTTTAGAATTATTTATTCAATTTTATTTATCATTACTATTAGTTTTCAATTTACTATAGAGCACATGGGCTCACCAGAGAGAGAGAGAAAGCAGTCATGTCAGGGACTCAAACCATGGTTGGCCATGTGAGAGTCCAGTGCCTTAACCACCATGCCACCTGCTGGCCCTATCAGATCTCTTCATGAAGGCTTTGTAAAGTTGCAGGATGCTGGGGCAGGGAGTGACAGGGCCTGGAAAGCACCCAGAGGTGGCTATCTCTAATCCTGACCCGTTTGTCACTCTCATGCCATGCTGAAGTACCTGTGTATGGGGTAGGGGGAGTTTCTATCTCTCTTGCTACTGTGGGAGTTAAAAGCTCGGGGTTCTTTGCTTCTTCCCGAGAACCCCCAAAAATTGTCTCCCCCCAGGACCCCCACGCTTTCCTTCCTTCCTTAAGAATAGCGCCTGGCCAGCCATCTGACCTCTTTGAGTTTTGCCTTTCAGGACTGAAGGGCGGCGGCCCCAGTGGCGGCAGCAGCGGCGGTGCTAACGGTAACACTTTCAGCTACACGTTCCATGGGGACCCTCACGCCATGTTCGCGGAGTTTTTCGGTGGCAGGAATCCCTTCGACACCTTTTTTGGGCAGCGGAACGGGGAGGAAGGCATGGACATCGATGACCCGTTCTCTGGCTTCCCCATGGGAATGAGTGGTTTCACCAACTTTGGACGCACCCGCCCTGCCCAGGAGCCCACCCGCAAGAAGCAAGATCCCCCCGTCACCCACGACCTCCGGGTCTCCCTTGAAGAGATCTACAGCGGCTGTACCAAGAAAATGAAAATCTCCCACAAGCGGCTGAACCCCGACGGAAAGAGCATTCGAAATGAAGACAAGATCTTGACCATCGAAGTGAAGAGGGGGTGGAAAGAAGGGACCAAAATCACCTTCCCCAAAGAAGGGGACCAGACCTCCAACAACATTCCAGCCGACATAGTCTTTGTTTTAAAGGACAAGCCCCACAATATCTTTAAGAGAGACGGCTCTGATGTCATCTATCCTGCCAGGATCAGCCTTCGCGAGGTAAGAGGCTAGGTGGGGCGGTATCTTAAAGGATTCTTTTATTTAATTTCATTGATTGGCATTTATTTATCTATAATTTGATCTAAGAGACAGAGTGAGAGAGGAGAAAGCTGTCAGGTCCAGGACTCGAACTGCAGTCAGCCATGTGGGAATCCAGCGCCTTAACTGTCACACCACCTGCCAGTCTCTGGGACAGTGTCTGGAGGGAAGGTGGTCACTTGTTTATGGGGGGTGTTGTTTGTTTGCTATTTCATTTTATTTATTCATTCACTTATCTTAATTTGACCAGAGAAAGACAGACATACAGAGAGAAGGAAAGGAGAAAGCAAGCCACCAGGTCCAGGACTTGAACCGTGGTCAGCCATGTGGGAATTCCAGCATTTTAACCACCACACCACCTGCTAGCCCTATTTTATTATTTTAATTTGCTATAGGGCATGTGTGCTCATGACAGAGGTAGAGGGAGAGAGAGAGTGAGCAAGCTGCCAGGTCCAGGACTCGAACCGTAGTAGGTGATGTGAGTGTCCAGCACCTTAACCACCAAGCCACCTGCTGGGCCCCTGCTTGTTTAAATAGTTTGGAATCTGCCAGACAAATGTTTCTTGGGGTAACAGTGAACAAGACTGAGCAGAGCTCTGTTCCTCTAGAATGTCTATGCTGGAGACCTGGGTAGATTCGGGGGCGGGGCCTTAGCTGCAGAGGCCTACCCAGTCTTACCCTATACCAGCGACTGGCAAGAGTTAAGCTTCTTTTTAAGCTTCTTTTTTTTTTAAATTTATTTCATTTTATTTAGTGGTACTAGTAGTAGTATTCGATTTGAGCAGAGAGAAGGAGAGTAAGAAAGCAAGCTGCCAGGTCCAGGACTTGAACCACAGTCAGCCGTATGATGAGAGTTCAGCACCTTAACCACCTGCCAGTCCCAACCTAAGCTCTCTCTGATCTAATGCTGTCCCTTTGCTTCTCAAGGCTCTGTGTGGCTGTACGGTGAATGTCCCCACTCTGGACGGCAGGACCATACCTGTAGTATTCAAGGATGTCATCAGGCCCGGCATGAGGCGAAAAGTCCCTGGAGAAGGCCTCCCCCTCCCCAAAACCCCCGAGAAACGCGGAGATCTCATTATCGAGTTCGAAGTGGTCTTTCCCGAAAGGATTCCCCAGACATCCAGAACCGTACTGGAGCAGGTTCTTCCGATATAGTCACCTGCGCTTCCCAAGGACTGACCAGGGACCTTTCCAGAGCTCAAGGATTTCCGGACCATTCTACCAGTTGTGGACCATGAGAAGGGCGGGAGGGCCCAGGGAGGGCTTTCATAATGCTGAATGTTTTCCAGAGAATATATTACAATCTTTCAAAGTCGTGCGCCAGACTTCAGTGGTTTTTTGAGCGAGAGGGCTGCAGGTGGTGGGAACAGCAAGAAGAGTCCCGCCCCGCCGGGTCCTGCAGCCCTCCTGGGATGGGCCCACAACCTCCTCTTCCTCTAGTCCCTGTCTGGGGGCGAGAGGACCTGCAGCTGGACCCGGTCCCTGTATGGCCCCTTCACTTCCAGTTGTCTTGGTCGCCAGACCCTGTGCCCGCCTGGGTCTCTACTCTGTGATCAGTCCGTGTATCACTCTGTATCTGTTCTCCCACGTCTCGTTCTTTGTCTGGAGAAAGCCGTCACCCACTCCTTTGGCCATCTCATTTTGAGAACCCGAGCGTTCTGCGACACTGCCCAGCCGGCACCCACCAGCAATACCTCTTGTCCCGGCAGGACCAAGGGAGCCGGCCTCCAATGGGTGAGTCTCGCACCTGCCTCCTACTCAAGAGTCTGGGACCCTGGCCCAAGCTGGGGGGGACTCTCCCGACTGACCTCTGCCTCTGGGGAAGCCTCTCTGCGCTCCCTTCTGGGGCCCACTCGTTTCTTGCCTGTAAGGCAGTTTTTCAGCTTACCAGGGGCCCAGGTCTGTTTGTTTTTTGTTTTGTTGTTTTGTTTTGTTTTTATTTTTTTCATGGACTCTGGACTCTTTCAAAGGGATCTGATCCTTTTGAATTTTGCACAGGCCTAGATACAATCCCTTTTGATAAAAGGGTCTTTGCTTCTGATGACAGGAGCACAGTGGAACATCTGTATATATGTTTTTATAATTCCGTGTACAGTCGGTGCGCCCTCGGAACAAAACCAGACCCCAGCCGCCCCCCACTCCGTGTAGGAAGGACCGCAGTGAAATTGAGAAGAAACCTTGGGAGTGGGCGACGTTGGAACCAATGTCTTGTCTCCTGGAGGCCAGTCCGGTGCTCAGACCTTTAGACTTCTTGTTGTTAAGTTGCCACTGCCGATTGGAGACCAAGTGTGTGACTTGTCAATTCGCAGTGAGACAGCATTAAAGACTGATGCCAAACCTCAGGGGAGCAGTCCCGCGACTCTGTTTGAGGGTTCTACTGGGGTGGTTTGGGGGTGGGTGGGCTCTTCTCCAAAGGCAAGAGGGTGGGGTGGGCGGGTGGCAGGAATACTCTGCAGGGGCAAGATAAGGCTCCCTTCGCGGCCTACTCTTGGGCTTGCTTATTTATGTCACTTTTTATGTGTTTTTATTTGTTAGGAGAGATTTTTGCTGTAAGGCGTGTGTGCTTGCTAGAGAGACAAAAAACAAGAAATTATCCCCCAAGGAGAATGGCCATGCTGCATTCCCTTCTCCATTCTCCTCTATGGATCTTGCGCACACACACACACACACACACACACACACGTGCACCCAGTGTGAGTTTGAAGCCACTGGGTCCAGGATTCGAACCACGGTCAACTCTGTGGGAGTCCAGCGATATAACCATTACACCATCTGCTGGTTCCATCGCTTTTTTTTTTTTTAATTCTGTATGGGGACCAGCAGTTGGCATAATGGCTATGTTGCTGGACTCTCACATAGTCAACCATGGTTTGAGTCCCGGACCCAGTGGCTTAAACTCACGCCGGGCACATGTGCATGTGTGCCCAAGATCCCGAGAGGAGAATCAAGGAGAAGGGATTGCGGTGTAGCCATCCCCCTGGTGGGAAATTTCCCATTTTCTGTCTCTCTCTCTCTCTCTGGCGTGTGCATGCACCCTATAGCAAAAACCTCCCCCACCCCACCCCCCAAAAAAAGATACTGTGTGCACATGCCCCATGGGTGTGGGACACCCTCCACACGGTCTGGTTCTACCACATCCCCTTCCTGTAGACCTCCAGGCTGTTGGCTCTTGAGCCTGTGATGCAGGGACAGTATGTCTCACACCAACCAAGCCTGGGACTTGAACCACATTCACCTGGGGGGATCCAGTTACTGCTGTACCACAGCGCCAGCCCCCGAGCTTATTAATCAGTGAATATTGGGGTTAAACTAAGGAAGGGGGGGCCTGCCGTTGCCTAGTTCCTCTTCCTGGCTTCCGGGGTTCTTGACCTCCTCAGGGGAACTAGTTAACGGGCTAAGGGGAGCTGCATGGACGCCCTCTTAATTCCATCCCTCCTCTCCTGCTGGAACAGTCTGGGTGTCAGGCCAGCCTGGCCAAACCAGGGCTGGAATTCTCAAGACCTGGGAGCCAGCCCAGAGCTGGCCCTGCCCTGGGAAGACCCATTTCCTGCTCGGGCTCCAAGCAGTCACTAAAGCTAGCTTTCACTTTGACTTTTTTTTAAGGAACTGGTTTTATTATAAGGTAAGTAATTACACAGGCTTCAAACAATGTATTGCTCCTTTGCTACAAAATGTTTTCAAGTAAAAACACTATACTCAGTCTAAGAGTTGCTTTCTCTTCTCATTATAACAATTTAAGCACTGACAGTCGTGGTGGCTCTGTGCAAGAGATCTGTCATAAGAATGTCCCACATACATTTTATTTAAACTGATGCCTTTTTGGGACCAGCAGTTAGCGTAATGGCTGTGTCGCTGGACTCCCATGTAGTTGACCACAGTTCGAGTCCCGGACCTGGTAGCTTAAACTCACACTGGACATGTGTGCGTGCATGCCCAAGATCCCGAGAGGAGAAGGGATTGCGGCGTGGCCATCCCCCCTGGGGGGTGATTTCTTGCTTTCTGTCTGTCTGTCTGGAGAGCACACGCGCCCTATGGCAAAAACCTCCCTTAAAAAAAAAAAAAAAAAAAGCCTTTTTTTTTTTTGACAGA